CGGCGGAAGGAACAAGTCATAGTCACCCCGTGATGGTGGTGATGTTGTAGGTGCTGGGTGGTGTGGCTGCTATTGATTGCTCAGGGAAAGGATCTCGGGAATTTGACAACAGCAGCTGCGGAACACTACCTGTTCCAGCTTGTTGAGGAGCATTTTCTCTGGGAACCCCGTCTGGAACAAATTGAACAACTTCGCAAGGCCTCCGTCACAGGAACAGGGGGAATGTTATCAAGCTTAAACATTAAAACAATATGAGCAAAGGCCACAAATTGTTCGCAACATGCAATGACAATCATATTTGCACTTTTGTTCTGATGATCACACGTTCAATGCAGCAGGTGCGCCAGAACAGCTAGGGTAGGTAGAAGTTCAGATGCCACGTCCACGACAATGCCAACTGTAAAGGATGCAACTCCTGCGACAAAGAAGCTCTGGAAAACCATGCAGGGCTAATCCGATCGACCGTGTGACCCCCCCCCCAATGCGAAAAGAGTAACCATTCAAGCCTAATGCGACCCTGGAAAAGTCTAGACGATTAATTCCTTTCCAACCTCAAGAAATTCTTGAGAGCCTCAACCAATCAGCTTGAGCAAGACGTAAGTAGTAAAACAAAGTATGCTGCTGAATGCAGCTCACCGAGGCTCACCAAGTAAAATATAATCCAAGATGTTGGAAGTGATGCTGAGACTGGTAGAAGCACATGCTCACTGGCAAGTCACTGAGCTGCAGGAGTTATTCAGTGGTGGCAAAACACACTGATCCACGTGCACACAACACTGAATTGGGGAATGATTGATTGGCAATGCAGTTGAGTGCCACATACGGCTCGACGCAGTCCTACGAGAAGCGCTATGAGGAAGCCGGTCAGAAGGGAGCCAACTGCTTCAACAGAACCATCGGCTCTAGCAGATTGCTCCATACGAATCCTTGGCACTTGGATGTTGACGTTCGTAATTACATTTCAATCAATCTCGTTCTGCAGCTGACGCGGCAGACCTGTTTGACGGGGAACAGAGTCCGAATGTCTGAAACAGGATAGGTTTGAAAGTGTAGTGCGCATTCAGCTGGCATTGTTTTCTCCGCAATTAAGTCCAAATATGTTTCAATTGTCAGATTAATTCTGCCACAAATGTGGCGAAAGCTCTTCAACTGCAATATGTATTGTTCTTCAGTGATCTTCCGTTGTTGCTCATTGAATGATGCCAGCCAAAACTGACAACTGACAGCAAGAAAACGTGTTATGTGGATGCAAGACTCCGCATTGCTCTGTCGGCCATCTCTTGTGAATGTTTCATCTCAATTTCTCCCCATGTATTCAGCCTGATGTACCTGTGAAACTCGACCAAAGAAGACGACGGTAAAGGATCAACTCTGTCACTGTCGATGCATGCCCAACGCATGCCAATGTGTATGTACAGTGTATGTGTGGTGTTGTCACTTGTTCAGAATGCAGAAATTGGCTCTATAGTGAGCAAATCACCACTAAGAGTCACTAAGAAACACCTGGAGTTTGCTCGGTTGACAAGCTTATGATTTTTGGTAAGATTTTGCAATGCAAGAACAGCTCGAATAAGGAGGGTCAGATTGACAATTTGTGTTCCGTAGATCATAGAACAGCTAACCATGTTGACAGGTCGCCAACAGAGTGTTCCTTGTGCTCATCCAAGGGAGGACGGTTGCTGGACATCCATTCTCGTTACCGCTTGAGCTGCCCTGAACAAAACCTATCACCCAACAAACATCCCTGATGACATCTTCCCAAAGTCTCTAGTAGGATCAAGTAGGAGAACCACCCACACAACACACACACACACACACTAGTCAAAGGACACACAGCATGCAAACTATTCATTCAAACCTTCAGACAAAAAAATCTCGCAAATGTGTCCACATGTCTACTTTAGATCCCTGTATTCCGGCGATTCTGCAGAACACATTGGCAATCACTAGCAATGACACGCTCCGTAGCAAGCAGTTTATGCTCAGCACCAACAAAAGTCTCTTGAGCAGGCCCAGCTACATGCCCAAAGATACCATAATTGCTGCAAAGAGGAAGACGAGTCCAATCCTGAACAAAAAAAGTTAAAGCGATATGATATATGTTTGGACTGTTTTTCACTCCAACTGCAGTAACCATGCTGCAGGAAGGATGTGAGAAACTGTAACTTTGACTTCTCTAGAGCAAGATAGCCTATGACTCGCCTGTGAGCATCTGTTTGTAGTGTTTTGAGCTAGTATTTAGTGCCACTATGTGCCACTTATATATATATATATATACTTGGTGCTTCAATGCCAAAAGCCCGGCTGAATGTCTGTCAAGTCACTGGTCAACCACAGGTAAAGTCTCTGTGATACCGAATGCATCATCTTTCAACAGGTACGTCGATGCAAAAGCTGATCCTGCAAACGAAAGGAAAAAGGTCTTCCAGGGAGTCATGTCAGGCAGTCTTGTAATTTCCTTCGCACTCTGCTAACCTGCTAACCTACAAGTAGAACTATTGGGAATGGGCCATCCAGCAAAATGCAAACCATCCCTCCCACCTCATTCAGGGCGTACCCCGGGCTGGAAAAGGAAAATGTCACGGTTCACTGCATCCATCTCTTTTTCACGGTTTCCTTAATAAGGTATGGTCAAGCAATCACCAAATCGCCCCTTCTGTGGCAGGTCTTGCCATGCATGTGGGAGATTTTTCAAAGTGCACTAGCAAGCATTGGGTGTTCAGCAAAAAGGTCTTACGTGCACTTAGCGCCAGCACAATTATAAGCACACTTGCCACCACGTGCACACCACAGTCTCTCTTGATCTTGAATGCCCACCGCCCTACCCACCCTTTGATTGTTTCTCATCGTCTCTCGATAATATTCACTCTTGAGGGGGGTGGTGGATGATATTCAATACTCAACCGACTGAGTCCAAATGCCATCTATCAGAATGATTCAACATCGATCAACACTCCGTCCTGGCTGGAATGCAGATCTCTGCTGCATCCCTTCAAGAACGTTTTAATTGTCTATTTTTTTTAACAGCTTCGATCAGGATCTGCAATGTGTTACATGGCGGTCAGGGCTACCTGATGTTCGTCCTTTGAAATCAATTTTGGGTATAGAAGGATTGATCCAGTCATTCCTTCAAACACTGCGGGAAAATGCATCATCCCTTCTTCTCTCTTCTCTCCGGATCTCCTAGGGCCACATTTTGCCCCAGCTCGATATTGTCTACAGCTTGACGCAGGACTCGTGGAGTTCGCACAGGATTTGAATGGGATGTGAAGGCCTTTCGCCGAGACCGCACACCATGCGTGGTGAGTTGGAGAGCCGATACAGGATGAAAGAAGTGTCTTCAATTGTCAAAGCAAAGACATATTGTTTAAAAAAATATGGATCAGAAAAAGAATGAGCATTTTTTGACATGATGAAACTTGGACAAAACAACCCAATTACAGTGTCTATTGCGCTCCCGACATTGAACTGCTAAGGCTGCTAAGGTTCCAATGATAAGAATGTGAAGGGCATCAAGAAAAGAAGCCTCAAGCACAGGTTTGATGAATACTGCAGTGTTCCACAGTGCTTCACCATCAAGGAACATCATCTCGTCATGGTTTCCACCCCTATCTCAGGTCAACAAGCAATTAGAAAGGCAAAGCAAACTCAAATGGTTGTAGCAAATACTATGCTCACCTGGACCCTCAACGTTTGAGATCCAATCAAATGCCATAAACGCAAAAAAATCAAACAGTTCATGTTTCTGTCTTCTCAATTAGACTTTGATAGACTTTGCCGAGCAACATCCGGCCGAGGATCTTGTTGGAGCGTAGATCTGGCCCCCTACCATGCTGCCTGGCTGGGCCACAAACAGGATTACCAAGTAAACCGTGACATGAGAATCAGACACTACTCATGTCAATCGAACACACAAAATAACAATAACACCAATCAAGCCTTTTGCAGGTAGCGTTCTTGCAACTGCTTGGTTGACTTTAAATAAGCCTAGCACTGCACAAGCTGGTTACCCAAATTATTCTCGTGTTGTCTGTCTTGTGGCTTGCTTCAACTTGTCATTGTCCAAAGCAATCAACTCAAGTTGCGCTCATTCCTATATGCAATACACAAATGCGCAAGGTTGCTGGAAGCCATCACATTTGCGCACACACCAGATACCAAATTGTACGGTCACCCACAAAAGGCCTTCGTGATGTAAATATCATGAGGCCTCGAATCAGGGCTTTTCAGCTAAGCAGCTTGACGCCAATATGGCAGGCCAAAGATGCAACTGCAAGGTGGACCAAAATCGATCGCTCCGCCTTTGTGACACACATCTTTGGTAATTTCCGGGGCACTAGATACTGTACCTTAGGTAACTTAGGTAACTTAACACACCTTAACAAACATGCAGAAGAATCCAACCAAGGGACTCAAACACGAGCATGGTTCCTTCGAAATCCTAGAGTGGCACAGGCAGTGCAACCTGGTGCTGGTAAGAATGCTCCTAGTAGCGATGCCAGGAGCCCCTAGTAGCGTCCTTGCTCCTAGTAGTAAGGCCAGGAGCCCCTAGTAGCTTCTTGTGTGCTTCAAATATTTTGTTCATAGGCAGCACAAACAATAGGTCAATCCTCTATGTACATTGCACCGGCCGATTAAAGCCAAGGCAAAGCAGCTGCAGTTTCGCAAGCAACATTTGGGGAAATGTGTTTCATATCCTTCTCTCCTCTTGGCAACATGACATGCTTTGCCTGCACAATGTGCTGTCCATTTCTCTGTAATTTAGCGGACCCCTTCTAGTTCTGCTTGAGGCGTCTGCTGCCTGCCTAGGCGTTTTTTTCAGGTTTATTATTGTAATTATATAGATGAGTACGGTTCGCTGGCTTTGATTGTTCGTACTTGTCAGCAAAAAGGCAAGCCAACAAACAGTATGGCTTGGATTTGCAATTGTTAAGTTTTGTGAACTCCATTAGACCACCTGCTGGCTGCTTTGTCTCTTTGGCCGCTACTTGCCTCCACGCTCACAATTCACCACGTGCATCACCCAGATCTAGACATTGATCTTCCTCAACAGGTGATGGAGTGGAGTGGCCTGTCTCAAGTTTTAAAAATGTGTCGAAGAATCCAAGAACAGTGGTTGCATCTAGCTATGGTGGTCACCAAATAGATGGAAACGAGGCTCAATACATGTTTGGAGGGGAGTTACTTTCACATCCTTAGGGGTTCGCTACGCCATATCGCATTCAATGAACCCCCACAACTGCCCACTTCAAGCCTTGAACTTCTTGGACCAACTTCGCGTAGCTTTCAAGTAGAAGGTACTCCTCAGCTCAAAAATGCATAAAGCCAGGAATGGCCTCCAACTAAATAGCGATGGCCTCCACCTAGTAGCTTCTAGTTACTAAGAAGCTTCAAAGACATACTAAAAGCTTCTTGTTACTAGTAGCGATGGCCTCCAACCAAATAGAGATGGCCTCCACCCTACTAGCATTAAAGCCAGAGCACCAAGTGGGTGGCATATTTGGCCACTCCCTGAAAAGCACATCGAAACATGCAAAAACTCTCCTCGTGCTCAAGGTGACTTGCTGTGACTTGTGCTGCGGGCACACGCCAAATGTTGGAAACTTGACCAGGGTTTACTCAATCCAGGGCTTACTCAATGTGTCCCTCAGCTCCAAGCTCATGTGGATCGTATGATTTGTACCGTTCACCTGGCAGTGGCGATTCTCACAAAGCAAAAGATTAAAGGTTCGTCCCTCGGACCAGAACACCAAAGTGGACAAAAGAAAAGATGTTTGACACGCACACAAAGTATCATAAAGTGTCAGCTAAAGTTAAGTTTCCCTTAAAAAGCTAGGAACAGAATCATTGGGGCGAGCGCTTCTTCAAGGAAGCTCCCCTTCGCCGCCTTTACGGCGGTGGGGCAAGCTTTCTTGAAGAAGCGTGAGCTATCCTGCGTCCTAGCTAGTCCTATTGCTGGTAGGTTGTCTATTCCCTTACTTAATTGAGTACGCGCCCACTGAATTAAGGAAGGAGGCAGGGCCACGGACTAGAAAAAAGAATTGAAAAAATGGAGATGATCAACCAAGCAGCACACGGGCGCAAAGGACAAATGGCCTTTCCAGCTTCGATGCTTCTTGGCCGGCTCAATCTGGGTCCCCTCCCCCCATTCGTTGTATGAAGTGACCTCGTCGTTTGCAGCAAGCACATCCTCCAGTGCTCTCATGAAGTTTGCAATATGCCCAAACGTCTTCTGGCAACAAAGGAAAGCAAAGCGATTCTGTTTCGGCCAATAGCCTTCTAGCTTCAGTTGCATTGATTGCATCGTTTGCATGAGCGTTATATCATTTTTGGGATTGAGACAAGCTGTGGGATCATGATCATGTCTTGACAGAAGAAAGATTCTTCACCATCCAGGTACAAAGTGTGCAAATTGGGTTGTCCGGAGAACATGGAGCTCAAACAGTGACCAGTGCACCAACTTAGGGTCTGGCTGACACAGCATGTGGTTTGCCTGGGTGTAAAGGCGTAAAGGCTTTCTGGGATATTATATAATATATAATATATATATAATTATGGATGCTGGTACATACTACTTCTGACCCTGGTCTTTGAAGCTTTCCAAATGAAAGCATTGAAAGATATTGAATGTAAGAGACCTCCGGACGTCAATTGGAGAAATCAAATGAGCCTTGATAACCTCCGCAACGTCAATCCGGTTGGTGCTGGCGCTAAGGAAAGGGGCGCTTCAATCTACCTCAATCTGACTCGCTAAGAGATCCGATTCAAATCTCAAATCAGCGACATCGGTCATGTCGGTTCAACCTGCGAGTTGAACTTCGTGAGTAAAGACTTTCGCGCCGAGGTGCTGGTGACAGCAGCTGACCACATTCGGTCATAAGACCTGTCAGCAAACGTGTTCAACAATTCTTTGAACACACATGCTTCCTGACTCTAGGTTCATTGTGGAACCTTTTCATCCGGTGGGCCTGAAAATCACTGCTTAGATGGTGGTCAAATTCAAAAGCTCCCTCTAAAAGAAATCACTCGTCCAAGAGCGAGACAATGCAACTCGGCAGGCGCACGCACCATCTTTGCGTTGTCGGACATTGTGACGATTCCAGGGTCTGATCCGAGTATCGTCGTACCTCGCGCAGCTCTTCAGGTTCATCCCGGTGAGATGTGATCAGTTTCCAAGAATGGCAGGGATCTGTTCGAGCTGCAGGCTACCCATTTCAATTGGCCAACTACAACTGCAGGATGCTTCGTGTTTTCGTTTAAGCTGGAAACACAAAATCCTCACATCGTGACAAATCAACACGATCTCAATCCTTGCCAAGGCGCCCGGGACCCACAGAAGGCACGAAGATTTTTCCAATCTTTTTAAATCTCCTAGGTTGATCCACACATCTGCACAGGCAACTTCGGCAAATGGACAGCGACTTCATTGTCATAATATATTGCCATGAAGTGTAGTAGAGAATGCGAATGAATGCGATATGTCTGCACGCGTAATTATTCTGTATCCTCGAGAGTTTGCAAACCTCAAACCAACGCTGCAGCGTTGAGCCGTTGGCATTGCCACGTCTTTCCAACTTTTGATGTTAGAGCCTGACACGGGACTAAGGCTTAATTGCCTTTCGACAGGGTCTTGGGCCAGTCTTGGATCTTTCAATTGCAGAAGCACCTCACCTTGCGTGGCACAATTCTGACAATGCAAACCGTGAGTCAAGCCTGTTTGTCCCTTAGGCCCCAGGAAAGAATTTAATATAGTTCATTCAAACTTGCCTGGAGTGAAGCCTTCTGCTGCAAAGTACGTGTACCTTGCTCTTCATCAAGCAATGCCATGCTCCGAAGTTGACACATGTATGTTTCATATGCAGCTTCCCTCTGGTCTAATTGATATCAAACCTAAGTTGAATGTCAAGATGTAGATTGTTCTTTTTGATGGAGGACTTAGCTAACTTTACCCCTGACGTGACGCTCTTCATGGCGCACGCACCGTCAAAGCCACCCTCTTGCAAAAAGCGGAGATCCTGTCGGCCACCACCCGTGCCAATCCATAGGCACCTCGCGGGGGATTGTTTGCTTTTTGTGTGTGTGTGGCTTGTGTGCAGCGATGCTGAAGACTTCCAAGATCAGACTTCAACATATATATATATATTATATAATATTGTATTGACCAATGACTCAACAAATTACTTGCATTGGGCTTTTCAATCAATGGAAACAATGACATCTGGAGATATTTCAATCAGGAGATATTTCCTCGTTCTCCGGAAGGAAATTTTATATCCGGAAGGAAATATGGTACCTCTGATTTGAGCGCATCATAGATGCTAGATCACCAAACGAATCTTTGGCTGACTTGGGTTGACTCGGAATCATCATGATGACTGAAAATAATGGCAAGCAGTTTGGACCTCATAGCCATCGGCCTTTTGATCCACATTTCATTTCAGAAATCTTCGCTGCAAACACTCATGTCTGCCTTTGTACAAAGGCCCTACCTCTCATCTCGCAGCACGTTTCGTCCGCATGGTGGTGCCTTGTTTAGAAAGTTGTGGGCAGAAACACACACTGGGGAATGGGAACTCCAAAATGCCCTAAAACTATGTGTGTTTTATGCGATATACAATATATACTGTATGCATGTGTATATATATATTAATATATATATTAATATATATATATATTTGACATATCGTTCATGGTTCCACCATTTCTGTCTAACAGCTGCCCCAGTCATTCTCATGGCCAATGGGAACACCGATGTATGTTTAAACCATGTTCTGTCCAAACTGCTCAAGAGTCAGTGTGCCTAAAAAATGACGGTCCTTTCACTTTCACTCTTGCATTCAAAAACCAAAAAGCACTGAGACTTATAGATGATCAAAGCTGAGGGCTCCTACATCAAAAAATATCAAAACAACAGCACACCTCTTGGGAACTGTTGTTATTCGATCTTTCCGCCCACAACTCTGCAGTCTATCATCCCCTTGTGCCGGAAATTTTGGCATAGGGCAGCTTATGTGACACACAATTGAATCCTTGGATCGAGTCAGCGTGCAAAGGTCAATCCAAGAAGAGTTTCCAGCTTAGATGGTGGGTGTAAGTTTCTGTTACCTTATTTATCCGTATATTTGTACTTCCATTCGGACCGTAGAAACCATGGAAACAATCCCAAGTGAACCGCCTTGTGTTAACTTCATACTCCTAACCTCAGTGCCACCATCTCAGAAGGCGTGGGCAACTGAGCTGTTCTCACGCGCAGCAAATGTCCTGCCGTTCAGTATGGCCTGTTTGAAAAGGATGCGTGCTGTTTAAGACCTGATGTTTCGCCGCATGATCTAAATAGGACTTTGCCGTGCTCAGCAAGCCTTTTTTCGTTTGTAGCTCATAGAGAGGCTGCTACATAATGCTACATAATTCCTGAAAGGCATCATCACACAAGAACACATTGAATATCGCTGAATAGACTAAACCCTGGTGCCTGTACTCAGAATTTACATGGACAACTGATTTGGACAGTCCTAGAGCACTTCAACCCAACAAGGAAAGAACAATAAGAAGGCAAGGACACCAACATCCGCATCTGATCCACGAAAGGACTGCCTGAACTTTTGCCCATCTGGCTCCTTTGGCTGCTTTTTTGGAACACCGGCTGAAATGAAGGTGCCTAGCAAGCAAGGGGCAGGATCATGAATAAAGCAAAATAGGGCCCGCAGCATACAAGTCTTCTGGCGACAGTAAGATTGCCCGAGTACAATTCAGGTCAGTCCCTGTGTTCTTTTGGCCGTCAGTTGTTGCGAAAATTTCTCTCCCAGAAGTTCAAAAGGCACAAAGAAGATCAAAGCAGCTGAGGTCGGTCTACGGTGCAGAAGTGCTCGCTAGTGCTCCGAGCTGCTATGGTTTTCTGAAAGAGCCGAAAATAGATCCGCGCTGCTGTGGGACCACCCATGCCACCAACCTCAAACCGTCGACATCGACATCCGTCGACCACCTAGACAGCCTGGGGCAGGGCCTGGGGGTTGCGAATCTTTGAGAGTGACATGAGCGAGATGACACACTCTGACATTGGTTTGCTGTTAACTCAATTCCCACGATGAGAAGGAAGGCGATGGAACGGAAAGGCGCATGGGTCAGCAAGAACAGTATGGTTGAACAATGTTTCGACAGGTGTGCGGCGGCGAGCCTCTGTACAATTCAACTGCGTGAGAAAGTGGAATGGTTTGGGGGAAGGTATCATGAACCACCATGGAAACAAGAAGGAAAAAGTGGACAGCGTGATCAACAGTTTCTTGGCAGGTACACATTCAGGCGTCCCTGAATGCTTCCACCAGTCTTCTGTAGCTTCGTTGGGCAACGTAAGAAGACTGGCCGTTGCCCCCGCCTGAATCTGAAATGGGGAAAGACAGTGCCCTTCGGAACAGGGAGTGACACTTCGACATTGGTTTTCAGTTAGACTCAATTGCCACGATGGGAAGAAAGGTGAGGGAACGGAAAGGCGAATGGGTCCGGTGATTTGAAATGTTAAACATTGTTTCACTCGCTCTGCTGGTTGCAATGCACAAGCGGCTGAAAGCTGCGGTGGAAAACCTGTTTTTTGGGGGAAGGTATCATGCGAAACCACCATGGAAACAAGCAAGGAAAGAGTGGAGTCACAGCTTGTAGAAAAGTTCACGCAGGTACACACGGGTGATCAATCCGTGCTTCCCACTCCAGGGCATAGCTTCGTTGCACTGAGTTTGCCAAGGAGTGCTCAGTGCCCCTGCTTCAGTGGAAAAAGGTGAGAACATGGAAAACCCTTAGAAACAGGGTGTGACACACACACGGTGCCGCTTCGCGGCGCTCGTGTGGGAGGCCTAAATAGACACCTAAAAAGCCTTAGAAACGAAAGGAAAGAAAGACAGAGGGCAAGAAAGAAAGATAGGTGTAGAAAAAGTGAATATTTAGCCCTTGACTGGGGTAGGGAAACAAGCCTCAAGACCGACCTAAAAAGCCTGAGAGAAAGCCCAACAAACGAAGAAAAGCGCAAGAAGGAAAGTGGGGGGCAGGGAGGGGGGTGTATGTCCATGTGTGTGTCCGTGTGTGTGTGTATGAATACTTAGCCCTCTAGAATTACTGAACACTTAGCGGAAACGAATTAAATGCAGTAGTTAGGGAGCGGGACTTTAGTCTTAAACCGCCCGGGTAGAGAAGACTAGAACAGGAACAACACAGGGAAAGGTACCGACACACAAGTGTGTCGAGTACCATTTCCCTATGTTGCCCTAATTAGGTAGGGAGTAGAACTCGGCTGGGGGGGGGGTTGGGAAACCTGCCTGATTGCGGGTGGAATACCGTTTTATAGCCCGGCGGCTCTGGATTCAGTGGTTGAGTGGATTCCATCGTTTATAGCCCGGCGGCTCCAAGTTCCGTTAATTCAGTTATGAACGTGAAGCGGGGAGACAGTTATAAAGTTGAAGGGTCGATGATTTCCGGTATGATTTCAGCGCCTCCTTTCGGAGGGTCACACCCAGTACCCAAGTGGGAAGACTGAGCGGTCCACACTTCGACATTGGTTTTCAGTTAGACTCAATTGCCACGATGGGAAGAAAGGTGAGGGAACGGAAAGGCGAATGGGTCCGGTGATTTGAAATGTTAAACATTGTTTCACTCGCTCTGCTGGTTGCAATGCACAAGCGGCTGAAAGCTGCGGTGGAAAACCTGTTTTTTTGGGGAAGGTATCATGCGAAACCACCATGGAAACAAACAAGGAAAGAGTGGAGTCACAGCTTGTAGAAAAGTTCACGCAGGTACACACGGGTGATCAATCCGTGCTTCCCACTCCAGGGCATAGCTTCGTTGCACTGAGTTTGCCAAGGAGTGCTCAGTGCCCCTGCTTCAGTGGAAAAAGGTGAGAACATGGAAAACCCTTAGAAACAGGGTGTGACACACACACACAAGAAAAAACAAACTGAGTGCAATCTTGAAACAGCAGTGCTCGGTATTCAATTCAAGTGCATTGAGCTGGACAAAGAAGAAAGGTCAATGACGAGGACCCTTTCTCTTGTATTGGGACACATCTTCCAAAGCTTTCCAAAATGGATTGAGCCAGCAGCATCTAGAATTGGGTATCGTACAGTACCATCCCGTCAAATGCTCTATACATAAACTTGTACTACTCAGAAATATTGACATTCGAAGGGAATTCCAAACTGAACATTCCACCCGCTTACAGGAGGTCATCTCGCACCTGGCCGTTGGAATACTGACCAGCGAACCCCATCTTATTTCTAGCGACTGGACAGGGCACTCTATGTTCGCATATTTTCGCCTAAGGTCCACGCCGAGGACAAACTAAACAAAGCTCCTTGCAACTTTGGAAGCTCCTGAAACACATCGAATGTCAGTCACCGGAAGGAATGCTGAGAAACATCAAACGCTTGCTGGGTCTGAAAAGGTTGCGCCAAGGGCTTACATGTTCGCAATGCCTTGGTTTATAAGGGGTCTGCAAATTGATCACTCTCCGCAATCAAGTCCTAGTAACTGTAGTATGAGCACAACAAACACCACAAAACACAATTTGAAGTCTCCTCTGCTGGCAGCAAAGTTTGATAGGGAGATCGCATCAAGCTCTCCAGCCTACAGGAATTCCGCAAGCTGTTTGGTAGTGTTTAAGTTCCATGCAGGAGTGACAGGCAGTGGCTTTCATGTAATTCATCTGCAAGTGTTCACCACTGCTGACATGTCTTTGTGCCAAGCGCTCCGCTGCCCAAAGGCAGCTTAGGTCTATCCCTTGCGGTTGGGGCTCTGACCAGGGACACGCTTCCCGTGCTGCTGAACCTGACAAGTTTGAGATTCTGAAAAGGTGAGGTCCAACCTAATAGCAATGGCCTCCAACCTAATAGCAATGGCCCCCAACCTAGTAGTCTTTTTATGTGCCAATGAGGTCTTCCTTTGGCTCCGAGGATTCTGGCTGCAAGGATCTCTGCAAATCAAAGCCACCAACAGTTTGACCTTGCGTGCTGCAATCTGCCGAGAATGGTCATTACGTACACGGCTTCACAAACGTCAATAGGACAGACATGCTTCTCGAACATCTGTGCAACACTTCCATCAAAAGCAGAACCATCGAAAGTGATATCTGAGGCCAACCACAAGATGCTTTGCCTCTGGCTTGGGCAACCTAAGATATGCGGAATGTCCACTCCTCACACCAGGAAGTCTAATCCAATTTCCTCCCTTCCTTCTGTCCAAAGCAGGGGCCTTGTTGAAGCTTCGGTCAAACGAATGGTGTATCGATGTGTTGGATACTTGCATGGGTGCCTAGCTGGCTCAGCTCCTAAACCGACCTACATCTTTGGGACAAAACCATCCCAAGCTCAATCCCCACTTCCTAATAAGGACTGGCAATTGTTTCATCAATAGTCACAATGAAGCTTTTTAGTATGTCTTTGAAGCTTAGTAGGGCCTGTGAGGCCAGGAAACTAAGCATCTCAAGCCAAGTGACTGAAGCCAAACCTCCTCAGAATCCAAACCTCACCAAGAACGCTTACAACGCATATCAAGATTTATCAAGCAGTATTCGGCCGCTTGTGGGCATCAAGTGTTAAGGCATCTGGTTCAATTCCATTCTGCTCAGCAAATCATGAACCCTCCGTCGTTGTCAATCAACGACGGTATTTAGCTGATCACTTGAACATCGAGGCTGCTTTGGCTTGGGAACCGACGGCCCAAAACAGACCGCAGCATCTGCTCATTGCCGAAACTGAAAATGCTTTGCATGGCCAAGTCCTTAGAAGCTGTGAGGCCAACACTTGGAGAGCAGCCTGACCAATCCTTTAGTCTGCTTTGGTTGTTTTAAGCCACAACCAATGAAACTTCCGCAACAAGGTGTCCGAAAAGCACCAAACCCGCGCCAAGGTGGCCATGAAGGGAGTCTGCAAGTCAGTGCACACCCACCACGAAGTACCATGGAGCACAACTGCCATCAGTCACTCACCAAGCTAACATCTGCAAACTACAAAAGCTTCCAATAATCAACAATCCCAAAATAGCAACAACACAATACAACTCGTACAGCATTCGAAAACAAGGTGTTCGAGAACATTCAACATCGCAAGTCAAACACAAAAGAGCACCCGTCCCAAAAGGGCCTGCGCAAACCTTTGCAATGGGTCGCTCAACCCTCAAACACCTGCTACAAAACCATCACGGTGAAGTGGAGGGTTCCCTTCACAAGCAACCCATGAAAACCCGAGCTCAAACCTGCCAAATCGCAAGGCAACCAAAGCCCATGCAACGCAACACAAAAACACTAGAATTGAAAGAAGTAGGGTTATCGAACTACGTTCTGAAACGTGAAGAGTCACTCATAAGAAGAAACGCTTAGATTAAGGGACGAGATGAAATGAAGCTGCTTCCTATGGGCTCCTTTCACCAATTGAAGCTTCCGCAGAGTGTCATGAATGCATGCGAAGGTACTTGGCAGTTGGCAATGATACACAAGAAGACCACTAGGAGGCCCACTGCGAGAAATGAAGCATCGGTTCATTTAAACAACGGTGTAATTAATCTTTTCAGCAATGGTATCGGAACCAGCAGAGAGACATCTTTGGTTTTCTGCACCACTTCAGGTGCAAAAATGACAGAAAGTGAAGAACTTCAGTTTGGGGTCCACTAAGACCAAACGACCGGTGAAGAGGTTTCGGGATCTGCAACTTGAAACCTTGCAACATGCAACCATGCACCATACGTTATGCGCAAGTCAAGGCCAAGAGACTACTCGGCCAGCAGCCAAATAATCCAGAATTCCGCCCAGTAATGGGCAGTCCTGCAACCAAACAGGGACCTAGTACTGTATGGCCTGTTTAAGCCCTAGTCCATTCTGAGATACTTGTCACTTGTCTTTTCAGCCAATCAAAGTCATCGCACCTCTGGATTCAATTGGGTGATGCGTGGGCAAACCTGCCAAATAAGAAAGGAGTTCAGGCAAAGCAATTCATTCGCGCTCTGTTTGAATGATCAAGCTGCTAGCCGTATCTGATCTGGACGCTGTTGGACTTGAAAAGGCCCTACGTACAATCATACTCTTGCTTGTTGAGGTCAATAGTGAAACAACAAACGTGCAATGACTGCTGAGATCACCAAGATGCAAAGAAACCCTACAAGCCTCCACTGAGAATGCAGGCCTGGCGGGCCTGCGTTGCTCTGGAAAAACGCGAAGAACTGCAAACGCAGCACATGGAAATCATCTTCAAAGGTTCCTCTCACATTGGGTCCGACACAAACTTGTTGGCTACACTACACAGCGCTACACAGTCTTTTCTATGGTGTTGTGCCAATTGCCATGAATAGTGCACTTGGCTTTGGATCACCACAGAGTCAGACCACGCTCCGCCATCTCCGCCTTTCTGACTTGGTGGCATCTTCCAAACGCGGTGTTGTCTGCACCAGGGACGCACGTTGGTCAGTGAAAGGAGGCACTGAGGCTATCATGATATCTGACATACGTAATCATACATATGTCTAAAAACTAGTAGAGATTATTCAGAAGCATGATGAATCATGAAGGACCTGGTGTCGAAAGTCACTTCAACTTAGCCACTCAACATTGCCTGAACGACATCAGTCATGACAGCATGCAGAAGAATCGTTAGAAGTTCTGTCAATCGTACTGTCAGGTTTGAATAGGAGCGAATTCACTTTAAAGGCCTGGGTGCTGTGCAAGCTTACAGGAAAGACATTCCCCTAAACATACATAGCATCAAGCCAAAGAATTGTCAAAAAGACTCTTGCAAGGTAGCACTTATGAATGTGGGCAGGACAGGGAAACTAGACATACAAGTACAAGAACCAAAATTCATCTCGGGTTTGTTCTTGATACCGGTTCCAAGCAAAATCGGAAAAGGCCTCCGTAGCTGCATCTGCAAAGGTAGACGAAGGCACTGAAGTAGGCATGTCACCAGTCTGGCGGCAACCACTCGTACTTGCTAAGTTGTATGTATATATATATATAGAGAGAATGTATATATATATTATATATAGAGAGAGAGAGTAATTAATTTGAACAAGTACACTTCCAACATGCAAAATATTGCCATGCGTCAAGGCCCGCCTCAGTTGAGGCATCCACTTTTGATGCTGGCTTTACCTGCAGAGTCAAAGACCGCGGAGTGGCATAGAGTGACAAAGGCATCAGGCGCTCCTTCTCACAGGGCTGATCCATGGGGAGTCGTCCTGCCTAGGCTGGACAGCTCTAAAGTGTCATGGCATTCACAGAACTGCTTATAGTTTTATGCTTTTCCATCTCTTCCTCTAGGCATTGTTCCCAATGTCACTGCTACATGCAATCGTTGAGCTGAATGATTGTTTTAGTGATGCTCTTTGGGCGTCCCAACACCACAAGGAGGCGGTGTCCTGCGCGGAATTCCAACAACTTCTGACGGATGGAAGGCTCAAGGGGCCAAACACCTTGCCTAGGCACTCGACCTGCAGCATGGCCGGGAAGTTCACTTTCCAAGCGAATCACCTGAAAAACCAATGCTGTCAAGGCATGATGTTGAACAGCAGGCAGGAGAGCTAAATCACCCCCCCTAAGAACGAAACCTTGTAAAATACGTGATGACAAATGAGATCTCGTGAGACTATATGCTCCATTCATGAACACATACGATCTTTTGCCTGTAAGCGATTGGGTTCACCCGAGTTCGACAATAGTTAATTGCCCTTTGCCCACCTCGTTCGGCCTGCCCACCTGGTCCTGGCAATGAGACTGTGGACGCTTTCCGGCACTACCAGTACAGAAACAGTCAGAATAGTTCTATGTATACCATATGATATAGGTGGATAGATTCAGATCGGATAGCCTGCAAATACATGGATGTTGAACTCCGTCGAGGCATCTCTTCCAGCCTTGTAGCACGATGAAAGCATCCTAAATTACAGTAATTACTAATTACATGTACATTACAGTCATTGGTCATGAGTTCGAAGTCAGCACCAAGTTCTTTGCATGTCTCTACTCGTACAGCTGTAAAACAAATCTCAATACCACCTTGCACATCTTCACTAGCCACCAATTAGCAAACAACATTTGATTGCTGCGCTTACTTGATGCCAAGGATAAAGCTGCAAGGAGTCCAGCCCATCCGGAGGCAGTTGGGATGCTTCAGCAGGTTCGGGTCCAGGTTCTCCTGTTGGCCTCAGCAAATTTGTTTCAAAGAAAATCCGACCATTGAGGTCATCGCCCAAATGAGACATGTCCTCCAATTCAAATCTGCATCATGCCAAAGGTCTAGAATAGTTTGGAATATATAAAAGGGTTTAGAATAGTCTAGAGTCCAGAAGCTGCTTAAACTTGTGACTTTGGCTTTGAAACTGGGCCACCGTACAGTGAAGCATCTTCTGCCTGCAGGAAGATTTGGCCCATCAAGGTGTGCTGAGGCAGTTGATCGAATCGGTAAAAACATAATGTCCTTCAAATCCACCGCCCGGCCCCATAAACAAAATGTGCCTAGTAGTAACAAGAAGCTAGTAGTAACAAGTGCCACGCTAGTAGTAACAAGTGCCTTACTAGTAGTAACAAGAAGCTAGTAGTAACAATCATTGCCAGTCCCACTGCTACCGTGCTTCATCCCGTCATCCACCTCGGCGCCGGCAGCATTCATAGCATCAGCCTTCACAACAGTCAAGTGCTGTTGTCAATCAGTCGCCAGTACTGCACATCAGGCAATGATGGAAAAGAAAGTGGGAAACATTTGCGCTGCTCTCCCGAAAACTGACACAACGTTCCGGACTTCGAGGATCTAAAGCCACTCATCTACTGTAAATTCATCTTCTGTGGAGGGTTGTGGTACCCGTCTGAGAACGAAGGTTGCCACGACTGTGCAAATGGGCGAGTGGATCACACTTTTCACTTGAGATGTCTTTGAGACCAGCAAAACGGTCACAAAAAATTACCTCACATGCGTATGCTGCATATGCACCTCCATCTGCTCCATCTGTCTCATTTCCAAGATTGATTGCACCACGCGGTTGCCTTGGCACAAAGCACAAACCTCGCAACGTGGTCAGCATGGAGCGCGCCTCCAGGACTAGCGACTGCTCCGTGTGCACCATCTCACATTCCGTCAAACAAACTTTGAAAGTATGACCAAAGCATCCAGGACCCTAGACAGCGGAAGTCTGGCCACAACTCCCGTCCATGTTTTAGCCGCCCTTGCTTAATTAAGCAGGTGCCTACTTAATTAAGTAAGGACTGTAAGGAGGTAAGCTACTAGGAGAAGTTTGCTCCTAGCTAGGACGCAGGGTGGGGGGGAGCTTTCTTGAAGAAGCGCCCGCACTAATGAGTTGGTTCCTTCGTTGTGGGAAACTTAACTTGAGGAGCTACGGAGATATGTCCTTCAACAAAAAGAGATGAGATGTCTTTCCGCGAATGCACGGTAGTTACGGAGCTTGCGGTACAATTCGTCCCACAAACCAGGTTATCATGCATCCAATAGCTCCTGCTTCTGCGCTTCAAACACTTGCAATCATTTCAAACATTCCAGATTCCAAGCTATTCAGAACAACAAACTGGATGATTATGTGAGGCTCTCCAATATACTTCGATTGATATTACTGTATATATCCATTTCCTTCACCTCTCAGAATTGACGTGGTAAATAAGTTCTTTGCTGCTCTCTTCGGCCCAACTTGCTTGGCCAAGAAGCGTGTTCTGGGCTCCTCCAACCCCTCCTGGCACTCCTTCGCCTCGTCCAGATTCTCCGGCAAGGCCTCCCAAGCCTTCGGCCAACATAAACCCTAAGCCTAAACCTAATAGTGATGGCCTCCAACCTACTAGCGATGGCCTCCAACCTACTAGCGATGGCCTCCAACCTACTAGCGATGGCCTCCAACCTACTAGCGATGGCCTCCAACCTACTAGCCATGGCCTCCAACCTACTAGCAATGGCCTCCAACCTAATGCAATGGCCTCCAACCTAATAGCAATGGCCTCCAACCTAATAGCGATCCATCTTAAAGAAAAACGGGGAAGACAAAACGACCAAAACGACGTGATCTGAACAACCTGGAAGTCTGCAATGCATCCAGCGAAGCAGCATAAGAGAGATTCAAATTCAAAACCAATTTGTAATGAACACTATCCGATCCGTGAATCAAAATCCAAGGCCTGCTTGGCATCCTTGATGCTTTTGCGGATCCTCTCATGGCCGCGCGTAAGCCGCTGTAGATTCCTTAAAACGCTTCAAAACACATCTGCAACAAATACTGCCAAAACCATGCAATCATTTACCATACTTGGAACTTATACAAGTAGAATGTTATTTGTCACAGTAACACAAGTTCTTATTGTAGCTAGGCGTCAAGTTCTCTCGATCGAAGGCATGTAGAACCTGCCCACGAAGAAGGCTAAATTGTGCAAAGTCACGCTGGAGAATGAACGTAAAATGAATTGATACATATCTGGGATATATATATTAAGCATTCACAAACGGCCCCATATTCAAGGGGCCCAAATGATCTAATTATTGATTAGTCCCAGCCTGAGCTCTCAGTTGTGGCCATGGCATTCCTTTTTCGTTGCTCGCCTGGCCACGGCTTTGTCCGAAGCATGCGCCGCAGCATGCAGCAAAATTATCATATACAATATGCAAAATAGGATACATATCATATGTATCCTATTTTGCAATATCATATACACTTTGAATCATTCCTGAATCATTCATGTCATGCATCGTTCTGCCATGCCACACCTGTTGCAGTGGGGCCAGGCGTTCCAGCAACAAGCAACATGCCAAAGCGAGTTCTCGAGTCAAGGCCTCAGCGCATGAGCTCCGAGAAATGATTTCAAGACAAAAAATCATCCTTTTCGGGAAAAGAGTAAAGTAAATGCAAACAAGAGTAAAGACACACAAAGATTGATAGAACATCTTAGATTACAGAAATATGATGAAAGCAAAGCATCGCTACTAGTAACAGGTGCCACGCTACTAGTAACAGGTGCCTTACTAGTAGTAATAAACTAAATTGAAATCTGCCCGCAAAGGCCCGTCCCCTGGCCACCCCGACCCGACGAGGTGGCGGTGACTCTGACCGTGGCAAATCCTGAATCTCTAGGATTGGCTCGGCCCAGAAAATATCACAGTGAATCCTATGACTTCCACAGAACACTCCATCCCAAAATGTTTCAAGGTGTTCACTGCGTCTTCTCTAGAGACATCTGGACGCTTTTCATGGCACCTCAGAATCTTTTGAAGGCTGATTTGCGGGTTCAGAGATTCCCAACGATTGACCCAATGGCAGATCAAGAGATGTTATACGGATGCAAGCAGCCACATCTCATCTCATCTTTCATTGTTGATGGTCTGTACTGATTGTTGCTTCGGTCACCGTCTACTTTCCTTTCAGTGCACGTCTGTCTCCTTCACTTGCTGCAGATATGCCGGTGGAGCCGAGGGAGTTTCCACCAGATGCGCAGCACACCTCGGAAGACACATGAAGACACAAAACGAATTCGAAGAGGCAAGAAGTGGCCACTGGCCAGAAAACTTCCACTGCAAGAAGTGGCCACCAAAGTTGCAGTAAGAAGTGTCTAAAGCGTCGAGGTGCAAGGTAGCCAGTTCTCTAGCGTACGGTGCTAGGCCAGTGATAGTTGCCTGCCACCAATGTTGTATGTGAAAGAAGCTGCTGGGACGGTGAGTCATTACAATGCAAGAGCACTCTAATGCAAGGCTAGTTCCGCTGCAAAAGAGAATTCCCACCTGTTCATGAAAGATTAATTGTTCAAAGCATGAGTATGAGTTCAAATGAAACCTTTATATACAAATTATCTTGGTCTTCCCATGCACAAGCCTCTCCAGAAAGCTGTAGCAAGCATTGAAGGAGGCCCTCATGCAAGTCTGAAGACACCTTGGGGAGACGATGCTGACCATGCTTGGCAGCGATAGACATAAACAGCCTTGGGCAAAAAAAAGAACAACATGACTAGGGAAAAGTTAGAAGTCCAAAGAAATGCAAATTTTACCCAAACATCTAGGAACCAAATCAGTATAAATCAATCATGCGAAGGCTTCTTCAAGAAAGCTCACCCCATTATTTTGGAGGAGCCAGGGGAAGAACAGGCTTCCTTGGAGGTCATCGCTACTAGCTTGAAGGGCCATTTTTATTAGATTGGAGGCCATCGCTACCAGGGTGGAGCTTGAGACTCATGAGCAAAGAGTGCGCCCGTAGCTGCTTAGTAGCTTCAGATAGCTTTAGAAGGTTTGCGAATTTATTTCTGATTTTTTTCGTTTTTTTGATTTTTTTGTTTTTCGTGTCTCGTGGCAGGTGCAGTACTTTGTGGACCTTGCAAAGCACATTTCGTGGCAGGTGCAGGACTTTGGAGTGCAGAGTTTGTGGCAGGCGCAGGACTTTTTGTGGGCCTTGAAGTGCAGATTTCGTGGCAGGTGTAGTACTTTGTGGCCCTTGGAGTGCAGATTTTGTGGCAGGCGCAGGACTTTGTGGACCTTGAAGTGCAGATTTCGTGGCAGATGCAGGACTTTGTGGGTGTGGAAGTGTAGAGTTGGTGGCAGGTGCAGGACTTTGTGGGCCTTGGAGTGCAG